GCTAGGATGTGGAGAAAAGGGACCCCTGGTGCACTGTTGGTGGAATGCAGATTGGTGCAGCAACTATGGAAAACAGTATGGAGGATCCTCAAAAAATAAAAAAAAATGAAACTGCCTTATGACCCTGTGATTCCACTTCTGGGTATATGTCTGGGTATATGAAGAAACCCAAACAGTAATTCGAAAGGGTATATGTCCCCCTATCTTCATTGCAGTGTTATTTACAATAGCCAAACTATTAAAGCAACCAAAGTGCCCACTAATAGATGAGTGGATAAAAAAGTTGTGGTACATATATTAAAGGGAAAATACTCTGCCATAAAAAGGATGAAATCTTACCATTTGCAGCAACATGGATGGAATTAGAGGGTATTATGCTAAGTGAAATAAGTCAGTTAGAGAAAGACAAATACCATATGATTTCACCTATATGTGAAGTCTAAAGAACAAAATAAACTGAATTGAGGCAGACTCATAAGCACAGAGAACAAACTGACGGTTGCTGAAGGAGAGGGGGGTTTGGAGGTCTGGGTAAAGGGGTTGGGAAGTACAGATTGGTAATTGCAAGATAGTCATGAGGAAGTAAGGTATAGCATAGGGAATATTGTCAATAATATTGTAATGGCTATTTGTGGTGCCAGGTGGGCACTGGAAATATCAGGGGAATACTCTGTAAAGATTTGATTATCTGGCTATTATGCTTTACACCTGAAACTAATACAAAATAATGAAGAATGTATACTGCAATTGAAAAATAAAATTTGAAGTTCTTTAAAAATATCGCTTCATAGGAGAGGCCTATCCATACCACTCAAGTAAAGTAGTACCCGCCCTACCACCACACCCACTTGTTAGCATTCTATTCCCTTTGTTTATAAGCCAATAGATATATTATAAACACAGAATAAATACCAATTGTACAATTTTATGTATCATACCCAAATCCCCTTGATGTTTAATCTCTTTATTCTTATAAGTTAGACTGAGAAAATCATGGAAATTGCTAAGCAATGTTTGGTGCAGTACATACTCTAGAGCAGCGGTTCTCAACCTGTGGGTCGCGACCCCTTTGGGGGTCAAATGACCCTTTCACAGGGGTCGCCTAAGACCCTTGGAAAACACATATATAATTACATATTGTTTTTGTGATTAATCACTATGCTTTAATTATGTTCAATTTGTAACAATGAAAATACATCCTGCATATCAGATATTTACATTACGATTCATAACAGTAGCAAAATTACAGTTATGAAGTAGCAACGAAAATAATTTTATGGTTGGGGGTCACCACAACATGAGGAACTGTATTAAAGGGTCACGGCATTAGGAAGGTTGAGAACCACTGCTCTAGAGATTTGTGAGTTGGCAATCTTCCCTTTATCCTGTAATGAATGTATTTTGTTCACTAGTAGTCATATGAGTGTGACTAAAGCAGAAAATACCCTTTCAGAGACATTTGCATTCTATTATCTCAAAAGGATAAGTCTCTAAGGCAAAATTATCAGGCAATATGACAAGACATAGTGAAGCATCTGGAAAGAGCAGAAAAGATGTTTTTGGCCCTTTAAATCATACCTCATATGCAAATCTACCAACCCTTGAGGAGAGACCTATATTTGTCTCCAGAGAAAAGGGCTATGAAGTAAATCTCCATTAGTACTGGGAAAACTTAAAATTCTTTTATTTAGCTTCCTGCTAAAATGGGAGCTTCAGAGAATGTTTATAGATAAACATAAAATGACATCCTTTAAAATATCTTCTAGGCTTAAAGAGGCAAATGCAGTGTTTGTTCTTCTTGAGGTCTGTACGGTGTTTGAATGAGTCCCTAACCTCCTGCAGTTACATGATCAAACAGACTGAGTATATAGGAGCCTTTACCTTTTCAACGCCTATTGTTATTTAAGAAAATATTTCCTTTTCTCTACTTCTCCTATCAAGACACTGGTGACAATATAAATAATATTTTAAATACAGCCTAAAGTAAAAAACCATAATAGCATTATGTCCTCAAAACTTTGAAATTTTAGTAAAATGGCAGTCATTATACTATAAAATACTTTGATATATGCAAATTATCTAAGACTCACAATCAGATGAAATTAATCTAAATCTAGACCATATATAACTAGTAATTGACCAATATCACAACCAATACTAAGTGTAGGTAAAATCTTCATAATTGTCATTAAATAACATGGGTTAAAATGTATCGTACATTTATATAAATTTTTCAATTGATTATATTTATTAATAGTATATTTCTATTTATACAAAGTGTATTGTACATTAAGTATACTGATTAAGTTTGAATTATAAATTTACAATATTAAGTTGCGGTAGTGGTCTTCAAATATCTGATAGTTTTAGGGTCAGTAAATTATTAAAGAAAAGGCTTAGAAGAAGTTTAGAAAAAGGATCATAATACAAAATTATTATGAGGCAACAATCTGAGCAGTTGATCGGAAGAACGTATTTTAAATACTGAGTGCTCATGAGAGGGAAGTAATAAACCTATTTTGTGTGTCCCGGTCAAGCCAGATGTGGAGAATGTGTTAAAAGAGCATTTGCAAACTGAAGTGTCACTTTAAGGTATTAAACAAAATGATGGAAGCCTGGTCTTTGAGTATTCATTGCAGACATAGGAAAACACTGATGGCATTAATGACTAATGATTAAGCTAACATGGATCCACAACAAACAAGTTATGCTTTATAAGTAAAAATGTTCATTTTTAAATTTGACTTATTTATGAAGCTAGACTAGTTTCATGTTATAACTTCTTTTTCTTGATGTCCTAATTTTTGTTTTATATAGTTTCTGGAGTTCATTTTTCTCCTCTTTGGAAAATCATGATAGTTTTGCTTTTCACCCATCTTCTACTGAATCTCTTAATGTCCACTTTTTTCCAGAGATTACAGACAATGGCTTGCTTGACTTCCTGATTCTTTTATTGCTCTAGGACCTGACAGAAGTTGAAAAATTAAAATCTTCTGAAGCAATTAAATGATTTCAAGTTATCCCATGTCTCATCTTAAACTACAATTTTCTTTTAAAGAAATGTGTCCTCCCCTTTTCGTGCTTAAAATTATTCCTCTTGATAGAAAAAATGTTATATAATTATCTTAATACGTTAATACCTTCCCAGATGGCAAACTTCTTGCTGTTCTTGATCTTTTAAGATACACTTTTAAATTTTGGATTTACTTTACTGGTATTAGTTGATTCTGTGCTTAACAGATCTAGTTGACCCTTTCATATTCATTGTAGTTATGTGTCTTCATTTTTTCTGCTATTGTATTTTCTGTCATTCATTCAACTTCTGTGAGGAATACAAACTAGAAGCTATGCTCTCATGACCTGGCCAGCAGTGATGCTGTGATACGACTAGAATGTTATAATACAAGGCAGAAAAAAATGTGATGAAAAGGATCAGGTAGCATTTCAATAGAGTTCATCAGATAAGATTACTATCAGCTGATTATGTATAGATAAATAAAAAAACTTTACATAAAAGGTTTATTTAAGCTGGACTTTCAAAGAATCTCTTTAATGGATCTATAAGTTACATGAAATTATATGTAATATTTGGAAGATACATGTACATATGTATTTGTGGTAGAGAGAGAAGGGTGGGATAAGATCACTAGTATTCATCGTATGTTGAAAGACATCTATAACACTCAAAATGGTTAAAAACGTATCACGCCACACGGAATAGTGTTTGAAAAAGTTTTCAAAATCATTAAAATAAGTATGATCAGAATTACATTCTCATTGCCACCAAATGTTCATTAGCATTTTCTGCTTCTCAATCATCTGGATGAGAAACATGATGAACTTTTCTTTGAATTTTTTTGAAATATTCTTTCCAAAGACTAGAAAATACATCTGACTATTCCTCACTATTTTAAAACAGAATATGTTCACTTTCTTTCCTTAACTTCCTTTACACCTACAAGATTTTTCACCACTGACAAAAAATAAGCCCATGATAATACTGTCCCTTTGTTGATTCTTTTGCATCCTTGTAATAAAAACTGTTGTCATTTTAAATCAATAACAAAAGGACAGAAATAATAGGCAGGATTAGAATATGGGCAGTAGACATCATATTAAAAATACATGGAGAATACTTTGAATTTATTATAGCATTTATAATGAAAATTGATGGGAAACTGAAGACAAAATAAGAGGAGCTATAGGGAAAAAAGATAAATTAAGCTCCCCATTTGGAAAACAGAAGGAATAAATCATAGGAAAATATACAAGTAGTTAGAAAAGTAAGAAATAGTGTTTTGGAGCTGGAATTCTCTATAAGAATAAAGGCATAAAAATGGTAAGATGGTTTTAAAAGATTTAGAATCATAAAGTAAAAAGTGGCACCAATAGAACACAAATAAAAAGGGAGTGATAAATATAGCTACTTGATGGCATGAACTCAAAGTACCAGAATTTTTGAAACGTTTAAAAAAATCTAGTAAGGAAGTGTATAAAAGGTATGAGAATATCTTTTTGAGATCAGTAGAATATGAAATGATGATAAAAGATTGACAAGCACCAAATAAGTAACAGGCAAAAACATAAAACTGAAACATAAATTCAGATATTGACATTCAGGAAGTATGACTATGTAACACTGCATAAGAAGCATACATTTCCAGATCCAAACAATATTATTTTGTTCTATTTTGTGCATTTGCCGAATAAGGTAACAAAAGCATAAAGAGGTCTTACTCATTATCATTTACATAAAATAATGCAATGATTTTAAAGTCAAAGAACCAAAAAATATTTTGTTTTATTGAGCTGGTCAAATTCCTCCACATCTTGTGAACTCTGTAGTTTAGATGGAGCAATGATTTAAATGATTTTTCAGTTCTTTCCCCACTTTGTATATATTGCATGTCCATGCATTTCACAGAAAGAGGTATGTTCAGAAATTTCTAGCAACTGAAATGATCTAATAATCATATAGATTTTAAATAGTCAAATTTTACCTTTCCGCAGATTGTTTGCACAGGGCTAGGTGACGAACTGACTGCTGTTTGAGTAAGTTCCTGAGTTGCAGAGACGTTGGACCAGATATTACCTCTCAATACTACGACCAATACTGAAAAATAGTAAAATAGTTCTATGAAATGCAGAAGCACAACCAATGAACATTAATTCTAGACTAAAATGAAACAGTTCTGATTCTTCCAGGCTAATTTAATTGACATAAACCCAAGATTTACAATCACTACAATATTAAGATTTTGAGGTAAAGAGAATTAGCACTATAATGTAATTTGAGAAAATACCAAATAAAATACACAATTCTGTGCATGTGTTTGGTGGAGTCTAATCCCCTAAACCTTCTACTGAGCAACATTAAGAGGCAAAGGGAAATTAAAGTTACAGATGGAACTAAAATGGATAATCATTGGATTTTAAAATAAGGAGACTATTTGGGTGGGCCTGATATAGAGTCCTGAAAATTGGAGGAGGGAGGCAGGGGAGTCAGTATCAGCGATAAAATATGAGCAGGATTGACCTGCTATTGCTGGCTTTGAAGACAGAGTAAGGGGGCCACAAACCAAAGAGTTCAGGTGGCCTCTGAGGGCAGGAAAGTACAAGAAACAGAACTCTCTCCTAGAGATCCAGAAGGAACACAGTCTCTCCTATGTCTTAATTTTAGCCCAACAAGACTTATTTTGCACTTATGGCCTCCACAACTGTAGATAATAAATTTATTTTAAAACACCAAATCTATGGTAGTTTGCTATAGAAGCAATAGGAAAAATATAAATATCCAATTCAACCTTAGCATGAAGAAAGCCCTTGCCGGAAAATCACACTGGACATTTACACTCTCTGCTAAAATGTGGGACATGTCTTCATACTTCTGGTCAGGTAGGTCTCTGATGGGGGTGCACCATGCTTTGGTCTTACTGCCTATGGCCCTTATTATTTCTCCTCAAACACAGAGATCTTATAGGGATGCAATAATCTGTCCATCGATCAATTGCAGCATTTTGTGTCCACTTCTATTTAGATAGTTAATTAAAACTCAGTATTAGGTTCTTGAAAAGTAACATTGCATTAGGAATAGGAACTTTAGAGTCACACAGACATGGATCAGATCAAAACTCCTTCCTTTTATTGGGAGAGTAACTTTGGGCAGTTTAAAACACCTGAACCTCCGTTTCTTGGTCTGTAAAAAAGGAATAGTAATGTTGTAGGTCAGGATCCCCAGAATCAGACCCTAAGATGAGGATTGCGTGCAAATGATTTATTAAGGAAATGCCTCCAGGAAAAAATACCTAAGTTACCAGAGTAAGCAAGATATGGAGGGAAGCGATTTCAGGCAAAACCCTCGCATCAGCATGATCCTGCAGGGGAGCTTTGGGGTATAAATGACATCTCAAGTTTTCTTGTTATTCGAGGCAATAGGGCTGGGCTTTTATGCTCTGTAGGGCAGTCCTTGGGAAAGGTGCACTGGGAGGAAAGTTAACTCCCAGATGGTTCTCTCTGGCTGTCTGTGCCTGAAGGCAAAGTGAATCCAGGAGCTTTTGGGCAATATTCCAAAGAGAGTGGCAGGGGATGGCTGTGAGAAATAAAAGAACACAGAAGCTGGGGGAAGGGCACCCAGACCCAATCGGAGGGATCCAAGGGGATGGGGTAGAATCTCCCACAAGCATTTACCTCAGAGAACTCTTCTAAAGACTGAATGCACACATGCTTTCCTTTCTTGAGCATTTAAGACTCCTAAACTATTTTTCTTTGGGAATAGCATGCAATATCTAGTGCAGTGCTTTACACATAGAGTGCTCAGCAATGAAATAATTCTTTCTTGACACAGACATTATACCCAGAAAGGGTACAGGAGACAAAATAAAAATAAAGCAAATATGAAGGATACCAGACTAGAAAGTAACCAAATTAGTCTGAATCTAGCATTTCAAAATGTTTGTAATTGTATTTTTCATAGAGCTGGAAACTTGAACTACTTGAGACTAGAAATTATTTTTATCTTTCAAAAGCTAGGCAAAGTCAACTAACCAACCAGCCAACCAACCAACCAATAATATATTTATTTGATGAGAATAAATCCTAGAGAAAATGCTGCTTTTACCCCCAGGAAACAAACTAAGTACCCAGAATGCATGCAATTTTTTTCTTAAAGAAAATCTTCTTCATTGCTACCCTCTGTTCCTATACTGATCATTAACACCTTTACTTGTGATAGCACTTTACAGGTTTAAAGTGCACTCACATTTAAATGCAATTAAAGTGCTTTCAAATTTTACATGATGCTCACAAAACCTTGTCATACATTTTTTTTACAAATGAGGGGACAAGCTCTGGGAGTTTAAGAGACTTAGTCAAGTTTGGACAGGATGCCAACTTCTGACTCCAGGGACAAAATTCCACTCAGTGTTCTACATGATCTACATGATCTCTTTAGCCTTGTATTAGTCAAGGGCCAGTCAGGAGACAGAAATCAGGAGAAATCTATAATAAAAAAAGAGTCATATGCTAATTAGACTGGACATCCTTCCAGACAATCTTCTGGACGAAGCCCGAGCTGCCAGGGAAGCCAGAGTCCCGGGTGCCTCCAGGGGTGTGGGATAATTTAGAAGAATTTCCCAATCCCCACCCATGTCCTCACTGGGAATAATGTGCCTGCGGCCCACTTGATGGCCAAAAAATTGGTTGAGGTGTCACAGACTGGGCTGGTGAGGAAACCACCAGCGGGGGTGCCAGTGAAATGTGCTAGGAAACTACCCCCTGGGACTCCAGCAAGGCTTACTGGGAAACCACACACTAGAGAACTCGCCAAACTTACTGGAGGGTGTAAAACACTGGTTTCTTGCCCATCACTGGCCAGAAAGCCACCCACCACTACACCATAGAAGCAAGAAGAAAAGCACTGGGACCAAGAAGAGAAGTCCCCTTTTGGCACCTTCAACTGACAAGTCCTAACACTATACCAACTAACAAAGAAATGTTCATAGGTTCTAACTCTAATATCACAACTTAGGGCAAAGAAGATGAATTAGGAGCCGAGAAACACCAATTAGCTGACACACCCCTCAATGACTTTCTTGGATTCTTGAGGGTAAAACGCTTTTATTCCAAACTCCTGTTCCATTTGTTTTGCTTTTTCCTAATTACCCCTACAATAAAACGCAGACCAAACCTTTGGGGACACTGGTATGTCACATTGTAAGTGCAAGGGGAGAGGGACAATGCAGTGATTGAGACCAGGTCTGGAGCTAAAATACTTGAGTGCAAATACTACTTTCCCCACTGACTAAATTTTCAGGCTTGCAAAAGTTAATTTTCTTATCTATAAAAGGGGATGGTAAGAGTACCTTCTTTATTAAGATGCCAGGAGAAATAAATTAATATACATATAAAGCCTATAGGGTAACGTCTAGCATGCAGTTAGAACTTGATAAATACTAGTATTGCCCATACATGTTAGTCTATAATTGGTGTTTAAAAATAACTATTTAGTTCTTATTATCAATTTCCACTTGGGATTGTGTCTTATAACGCATAAAGCCAACTTCTTTGGGCATTGCCTGTAGCTCTGGTTTCAGATCCTGGCACCGCCCCTGGCTCACTGAATAATCCCCATCAGTGGCAGCCAACTCACTGGGGATTTGGTTTCTCAAGTGAAAAGAGACACATGGTTAAACAAATCATCTCTCTTTCATATCTCTTCCAGTTCTGACTAAATCTGATTCACCTTTTTCCCCAAATAATGAGTTACACTTGAGAGGGGAAAAAGGAAGGAAATTAACATTTTAAGTGCTACCCACCTGTGTCAGGCAAGCACTCTGCATGCATTAACCTGATTTCATTCTTATCCCGGGATTAGTACTTCCAACCCTAGTTACCAATACGGAAACTGATGCTCGGAAAGGTCAAGCAACACACTGAAGATCACACTCTTGGTAAGTAGCAGGGCCTGCAATCAAACCCGGCCTTTCTGTTTGGGTTGACAAAACATTTCTAACTATCCCGCTTGCCTCCCACACCATCTTCATCTCAGACATCAAGATTCCTAACTGCTCAGTGCTTTTCACGCGTTAAGGAGATGAGTAGGTGTGCGACTTCTTTTCTGTCTTAAAGTTATCATTTGAAAGTAAAGCAAGTGCAAATCATTTACCAGTCACAAACATGCTGAAAATCACCCCTAACAGCTCACAGGAAATTCGCGGCTGAGTGGAAATCGGCAGCCCTCCAGCATCCCTGCGCCCCTGGCCTCACCTCTCCTCCTGGCCGAGAACCTGCTGGAGGTTAAGGAGCCTGGTGGCGGCCCGCGAGCCGAGATCCGGCCCCGATGGGCCGCAGTGTCCACCCTCGGAGCCTTCTCCTTCTCTGCAGCAGGAGGTGGTCGGGCCAGGTCCTCTTAAGGTTTCTCCCCAAGTTACAGGTCCGAGTCGGAGGGCTTTCCAGGGCGTGGGTTAAACTGTCCATTTCTCCGAGGAGGCTGCTCACCGCACCCCTTTCCCCAGCCCCCCAGCCCGCGGCCCCTTTCCGCTCCTCCAACAAGGAAACCTGAAGCCCCTTCCCCTCGCTCCCTGGAATCGCCTTTCACCAGACATTCCGCCCTGCGCTCAGGCCCGGTCCCGGGGAAAGGGGTGCAGCTTTGCCGTCCCCCCTCTGGCGCCCAGCCTGCAGCTCTCGAACTTTCTGCCCCTCGGCGGGGAATGCTGAGAACTCTGCCTCGAGTCCGGCTGGAAACCGGAAGAGTCAAAACCTCTGCACTGCGAGCCCCTCCGCCGGCCTCCCCGGCTCCCCGCGCCCGGGCTCCGCAGGCGGCTCTCCCTCGGCGGGACCCCGCGCAGGGGCGGGCGGCGCGCGGGCCCCCAGACGCGCTCCCATCCAGGGCTCGCCGTGCGGTTCCCGCGCCGCCCGCGCCCGGGGGGTCTGGGGCGTCCTCTCCGCGCCGCAGCCCAGCTCCGCTCGCCGCCGGGGGGTGCAGACAGGTCCGCCCTGGCTCCGGACTGCCTGCCGGCCTCCCGCGCGGGC